ATGTTTCTTTAACAGATTATGTCAGAGGTTCTGTTAAAAATTACTTGACTGTGTGTAGGAAGGGTCTTTGGACTTTGTGCATCATGATATATTTTTCTAACATTATAAATTATTACACTGTTTTGATCGCAGTAACTTGTAAGTCTGGAAATAAGATGATGTCATCATTCTATGTTTCTCAGTTTCAAAATTATTTTTGCTATTTTCATCCTTTCAATTATATAGAAAAGTTAGAACAATGCTAATTTCTGTTGCTATGTTTTCTTGCAGGGCAGATGTAGGGAGAATGGATATATCAACATACAGGTTTCTGGCTATGAACATCTTATATTTCTCTTTAATTACTTGGGCTCAAATCTGCTTAGGTTTCTTTCAGTAATGTTTTGTCATTTTAGTATATAGCACTTATAAAATGAGCTATTCTTCAAAACATCATTTTGTTGGCCTATAAGTGATCTTCATCTTTAAAATATTTCATTTTCTAATTGGTTAGAAATATGTAGAGACACACCTTACTTTTGCATATTGAATTTATATCCCATTAGCTAACAAAATTAATTTATTAATGTAGCAATTTTGTAGATTCTTAAGGATTTTTATATATAGTAATTTTATAATCTGAAAATAGAGGCATTTTACCTATCCACTTATCCTTTCAAATATTTATACATTCCCTCTATCTCCCTCTCTTTTCTTTCTTTCCTCTTTCCCTCTACCCCTCCCTTCCTCTCTTTCTCCCCACCTCTAGCCAATCTCTCCACTCTCTGCTTCCCAATAGCAATATTCAAGATATTCTGGGCTGTGCGAATATTTTTAACTCTTTTGCCACATTGAGTATGGTGTACTTTTTATTATAATCACCATTTCCTTTCCTTTTTAAACATAGTTTTCTGTAGTTCTTTGAACACAAACACACACAGACATATATATTCATATATATGTAATGTATTATATACACACATATATGATTCTTAAGATCTTTGTTTGCTAAACATATGGACCATTTGGGGTATGTTTTTAAATAGCAATTTTATTGACTATGCCTTACATTTTCATGTTTCTGTGAAGACCTAAATATAAAAATCATTTTGAATAATGTGTTATAAAACCTCTGAGAGTTCTGGTTTGATTTGAGAACTGTATGTAGTTCAGTTATTTCCTTGTATTATGGAACCTTAGCCATATGTATAGTCTTTGTTAGGGAAGATATCTGGAAAGCCAAGGTGTTTTCTAGGCCTTGGAATTCAGTGGAACTGAACCCCTGCATTCTATCTTCTTGCAGATTTTGTTAAGCTTTTTGTTTGTTTGTTTGTTTTTAACCTGGCTTTGCTGTGTAGGTCTGGAATCAGGCATGGTCCTTTCAAAAGTAGTGTTTCTCTGGAGAATATCCTTGGCATTAACATTATAACAAGTGAGACTTAGTCAATAATGCCTGTTCCTTGTTTCACCTTGTAGTGTCTTCACTCTGCTAAGCCTTAAAATGGCTCACTTGGCCATTGGGCATAGCCCCTAGCTAAGCACTCATGAGTAACCCATCTCAAACTTTGTGAGTCTCCTCTCTACACGATCTTTTCTGGGGTCCTGTATTGTAGACTTCATATGCCTTGTGTACCCCCACTCTGATTCTTTAATGGGGACAAGTTCTGAGTTTAGAGCAGTTGAGTTTAGAGCAGTTATCTGAGTCCAAGCACATCATGAAAATTCATCTCTACCTAAGGGGAAGACATCTGGCCTGGTCTGAGGCTCCCAAGCTCTTTTTGATGAGAATCCATAATGTTGTCCTGTGTGTGGACAATGTCCTAACTCAGTTGTTATATCTGTTTGGCCTCCCACTATGTTTGTTCATGATAGGAGCCAGGATTAGGGCCAGTTTTTCCTTCATTGTTAGAAATCATGGTACTCTTTAAGTGATACAATGAGCCCCTATCTATACACTGGCATTTAAAAGTTTCCCAGTATTGTATTTGTTACCTCAAATTTTGTTCATAATAGTATTTTAAGTATTAATGAAGGACACTATGAAAATAGATGCATGTGTATGTATAATGATCATATCAAGGTCACAGGGTTTCTATTTCCTCAAATTTTAATCTTCTCTTGTGTCAGAAACCTTCATATTCTTCAGTCGTTTTGGAACACACAGGTGCTGTGGTGAGTAGTTCCCCAACTGTGCCAACAAAAGGAAGAGCTAATTTTTTTCGTTGCTACCTGTGTTTTGCTGCCTCTTACCTAGCTTCTTTCAGTTCTTCCTCTTCTCTGTCCTCTGATGTCAACCACCATCTCATCCTTTTCTTCTCTGAGATGAACTACATATTTCTAGAGATGTGTGAGGATAAGTGTTATTTGTCTTCTAATATCTTCTGACTTGTTTCACTTTAAAAATGACTTCTAGTTCCATCCATGGTGCTAAAAATGTCAGAATTTCATTATTTTTTCATGATGGAATAATATTTTCTTGTGCATATGTGCCACATTTTTCCTATTCATCATTCATTGAGATGGATACCTGCAGGTAGGACTTTGATATAATGACTTCTTTGATCATATACGTAGTGATGAATGTATCTTCCAATTTCTTATATCTTCTATATTTTCTATCATCATTTCTTAAATTAATATTATTGTGGAGATATTTTACTTCTTTGGTTAAATGTGTTCCCAAATAGTTCATGTTGTTGTAACTATTGTAAATAAGATAGATTTTTTTTTCATTTCTTTGCAGCAAGTACACTGACACAGAAAAATGTTATTGTATTTTGTATGTTGATTTTGCATCTTGCAACTTTAGCGAATTCATTTTCAGTTCTAATAACCTTTTGTTCGCATATTTATATTTTTTTCATTTATGAATCCCTGTGATATTCATACATGCATACTTTAACTTTTTTTTCTAATCTGATTGCTTTCTATTTATTTCCATTGCCCAGTTACCATTGTTAATACTTACAATACTACATTAAACAGGTGAAAATAAATTGTGGAAGTGAATATGTAGTTTTTAGATGTGGGGATATGATTTTTCAATCACACATCATTCCTGTTGTATCACCACAAAGCAAAAAATAAGTAAAACAGACTGGCAAAAGTTTGGAAGGTCAGAGTTTCCTGCAACGCTTCCAAGTTGTCTTGGCATATATATTCTCGCACAATATTGCCCCTTCTTTGACACTCCACTCATTCATGATAGAGCATCCCTCAAAAGAGTGATATGTTATTGATTCTGCAATTTACTTTCAAGTTGCTGCCACTTCTGAATTTTGATGTGGGCACCCCAGGAGGACAAATGTGCAGACAATATAACTGTGTTATAACCACCGCCTGCCATACTGCACCTACAAGATGTCGGCAACACGAAGTGTTCATTCAGATTTTCAAAGGTGATATTAAAATATTGGGGGATTGTGCACCTTAGGGTAATACAGCATTCAAGTTTTAAACTCAATTTTCAGAAAAACAGAAATAAATTACCGAATAAAAACAATTTCTCAACAAACTCAATGGCATCTCTGAAGGTTCCGTGTCTTAATAATGTTATTCCAGAGCTTTTCTTTTTTAAAATTTTATCTTATTATTTTTATTTTATTTAAATGTTTTCTTCTCCCTTTTTACACTACAGGTACTTTGCATGTATATATTATGGTTTACGTTTTATGGGATTTAGCATTTTTATGGGATTCCTGAGTGTTCAAACAAGGGGATCTTTGTTTCCTGTTCCTTCTCTTAGGCTCTTTTCTTTCAGTCTGTTTGTTTTGCTCAATTTTGATGTGATAGCTTTTGCTTTATTATATTGTTTTGTATTGTATTGCATAATATTGTATTATTACTCCTTAGGAACTTGCTTTCTTATGATGAGAGACAGAAAAGGGGAGTGGATCTGGATAAGAGGGGTTGTGGGGAGGAACTGGGAAGAGCTAAGATAGGGAAAACCATAATCAGGATATATTATGTGAAAAAAAATTATTTTCAAAATAAAAAATGGGAAAAGATAGACAATTGGAAATAATTAAAAAATGAGAAATCACTTCATTTGTACTAAATTGAATCTTTATATCTACTAGAAAGACATACAATGTCAAATAAATTTAGAATGGGAGACCCAGGATCATCTGCGCTCTGAGCACAGGTACTTTATGACTATGATGAGGTTAGTTATGCCCAATGAATTCATTCTAAGTTCAAAATATAGTATGTTGAAAATGTCTTCAATCCAAATGACCTACATAACCACTACAGATTAGCCTAGCTCACTCTAAACATGCTTAGAGCCTTTTATTAGTATGCTGCTGGACAAAATTACCCAGCACAAAGCCCATTGTAGAACAAAATGTTCAACTGATTGAATAAATTTTGCACTTTAAGTTAAAAAAATATATCTTTTTACATGTTAGAGATTATATTAAGTCTAGAGTAGTTTTCTTAATATTTAATAGAATAATTAATAATTTGCAATATTTGTTAATGAATCGGGAAGAAATGTTAATTTTTGCAGGTTCAGAATGCAGTATATTTATGATTCATAGGGTATCAAATCACAAAAATAAACAAGGGGATGAAGAGATGGCTTAGTAGCAGTTAGGACACCTTTTAAAAATTCAATTACCGGGATTTCCAAAGTCTTTATTGACCCAATTACATATTAAGTGAAATCGTTTCACTTTGTTTTTCAGGGTTTATCTTTGTAGACCAGCCTGGCCTTGAGATGTGCCTGCCTCTACCTTCAAGTGCTTAAAGGCAGCCTGGCTAATGATAAACCAGAGACTTCTGTTTGCTTCCAGGGCAGTCCTCTTGCTGAATTTTTCCAAACAACTGTAGACAAAGTCATAAAAGATGGCCACCTCACTAGTTACATGGCCCCTAGATTACTTAATGAGCAGCAGCAGGCAGGCTGACTTCTCAGACATTTCCAAGAACCTTGAGTGTAGCCTGCAGAAGGAAGCTCTGTTGCGAATATTTAGGCACAGAACAATGCTCCAGGTAAAAAGCTTAAGTTCAGGCCCAACGTATACAGGAAAGCTGAGTGGCAGCTGCAGGCACTGTGTTGACCTGGCCTGTCAAAGTCCCTCTAGTTACTCTGGTATGCAATTGGAGATCCCATGGCAACAACCAGCCACAGCTCTTGGAAACATGCTAAAATGTTATTTATGTTAATAAAAGGGAATAAATGTAAATACAGAGGTGGACAAAAGAAACGGCTGCTTTTATTTACAAATGTCTGTTTTCTGGGAAGAATTCAGGAGAAATGAATCCTAAGCTTGTATATTAATAGCTTCCTTTTTTGGGTGGTGTTTTTAATAAATGTGTTGACATCGTTCTGTGAACTTTCAGTAGAACTTCCTTGACCACTTGAATAAAAGTGATTACAGGCTTTTCAATCCTATCTGTTAAGTACATTGACAACCTTACAGAACATCAAGAACTCCAGGAATGAACGGACAAATTGACAGCTCTTCAGGAAGATGATTGCTTTTGCTTCTGCTAATTCAGGTCCATCTTATTGAAAGTCAGGGATATTTGAAACCAATGTGATTAGACAGCTCTAGTCATCAATCCAGTTACAAACTTTCATTAAGTAGAACACAGTCTGATGAAATAAAAACATCACAGAATAATCTCTCCCTCCTTCCTTCCTTCCTTCCTTCCTTCCTTCCTTCCTTCCTTCCTTCCTTCCTTCCTTCCTTCCTTCCTTCTTTCTTTCATTCTTGCCTTGAATGCAGGGACTAACTTGAATGCAGTTCCTCCACTGCCACAAATTATGCAGTTGAGTTCCCCATGTTAGAGGAAATGCCAAGGGTCAGCATCCTGGAGTGCAATGGATATGTCTTAGTCTGGGGAAAACACTTAGGTGATTGTGGCTCCTCTTTAAGGTAAGTGTTAGAATAATTTTCCTTTTTTAATTAATTAGCTCATTTAGTCACTTTACATCCTGATCGGGCCGTAGTCCCCTCTCCTCCCAATCCTGTCCTCCCTCTTCCCCCATTTTCCCTCTGCTACTTTTCAGAAAAGGGGCACTCCCCCCGTCACTTCAGCACTTCAAGACATATCATGACTGAGCGCACCCTCCACTCTGTGGCCTGGCAAGGCAGCCCTGCCAGGGGGAAGAGATCATATAGCAGAGTTCACTTCAGAGACAGTCCCTGTTCCCCTTACTATGGGACCCATTGGCTACATCCGTGGAGGGGGCCTGGGTCCAGTTCTTTTATGGTTCTTGCTTGGTGCTTCAGTCTCCACAAGCTCCTCTAGGCCCTGGTTAGTGGGCTCTGTTGGTCTTCTTTGGAGCTCTTGTTTCCTCCAGATTCTTCTGTCCTTCCTTCCTTCCTCTTTTCCACAAGACTCCCTACACTTCTCCCAGTATTTGCCTGTGAATCTCAGATTTAAGTCAAGGGGCTGGAGTTAATGTCTTACTAGTTAAGGATACAAACTGTTCTTGCAAGTAACTGGAGTTTGGTTCCAAGCACATCCTTATTTGGGTGGCTCCCAATCACCTGTAGGTCGAGGGAATCCGATGTTGACTTCTGGCCTCTGTGGGCACCTGCACTCACATGTGCGCCTATGTGCATACGTGTATGCATAACTAAAGATATAAATAAATGTTTTTAAAAATAAGATCTATGAGGAGAATCGATATGATTTTAAAAGTATAGTTGAAATGCTATATGTGAATGTGTATATAATTGAAAATTAAAACTAAGTAGTTTTAAAAGTAAGATATATTAGGAGAATTAATATGATTGAACATAATTTTAAAATTAAATATAGTTGAAGTAGTTCCAAGTGTGCTGTCCTGTCAATGTCTGTGTTTCAAAAATCTTCATCTACAGAAGCTTAATAATCAGCATCTGCTGTTCAGGGATGGGACTTTAGAGAAGGGTTAGGGCATGATGAAGGAACTGATCACGAATTGTCTTCAGTAGTCTATTAAAAAACAAAAAAGGCCCCAGAAAGCTACCTCACTTCTACCATGTTCACATACAGATAGAAGGCCTCATCTGTGAATCAGAAACACTCATTAGACACAGAGCTTCTTGGCTCTGTAGTCTTGGACTTCTCAACCTTCAGAACTGTAAAAATAAATATCTTTTGCTCATAAATTATGCAGGTTACATAACTGTGTTGTAGGTTAAGCAGATGTGAAGCAATAGCTATTGATTTGAAAACTATAAAAAGTGGAAAGAATTCTGTACTTGTATTGACTTTCACCTATTTTCCTCTTTTATAATAATTTATTTCTTAAAATTACAATTACATAACCTTTTACCTTCCCTCTTCTCCCTCCAACTGCTTCATGAATTCCCTTTTTTCTCTCTCTCAAATTCATGTTCTTTTTTCTTTAATATATATACCATTAAACATATATATTTATATGTATATGTACATATAAACATATATTTACATATATAATTTATGTAAATACATATATGTAAATGCACATATATATATATAAAGATACACATGTAAATATATATTTGCAACATATATTTATATATTTTAGCATATAAAAATATGTAAATTTATATGTTTGTTTATATATACAAATATAAATATGTATGTTTTTATGTATGTATGTACATATTATAACCATGTGTATGTATTTATATATCTAAACATATATGTTTATATTTATATATTTTATATATATTTATAAATATATAACATACATATTTATATATAATATATAATTACATATGGTATATACTAATGGTACATATACCATGAAAATAGGTATTCCTAGATACATAGTATATACACATGTATATCTAAATACGTAAATACAACCTTCTCAGTCCATAAAAAAATAGGTAGAAACCTAAACAAAAGGAGAAACTTATTTGTGGTCATATCACAGCAATGGTGGAGATGGGACACAGAGCCACACAAACTAGAACATCCCACCCTCAAGCCTGCCTACTCCCCACTAACTTACTGTGTGAACTTAGAGCAAATGTTCGCTTTCTTCCAGTCAGTTGCTGTTTTGTTTTTTTATCTGTTAATAAAAAAGTTGTGCCAGATACCTTAGATGTCTTTTTTTAATTAAAGTTTTTACAATTTTTATTAATTACACTTTATTCACTTTGTACCCCCCCATAAACCGCTCCCTCCTCCCCTCCTAATCACACCTTTCCTCCCCCTTCTCCACACATGCCCCTCCCCAAGTCCACTGGTAGGGGAGGTTTTCTTCTCCTTCCCTCTGATCCTAGTCAATTAGGTCTCAGCAGGAGTGGCTGCATTGTCTTCCTCTGTGGCCTGGTAAGGCTGCTCTCCTCTCAGGGGGAAGTGATCAAAGAGCAGGCCAATCAGTTCATGTCAGAGGCAGTCCCTGTTCCCATGGCTATGGAACCCATTTGGACACTGAACTGCCATGGGCTACATCTGTGCAGGGGTTCTAGGTTAGCTCCATGCATGGTACTTGGTTGGTAAATTTTTTTATTAATTATTTTTATTTTTTTATATTAATTACAGGTTACTTACTTTGTATCCCAGCTGTAGCCTCCTCCCTCCTCCCCTCCCAATCCCACCCTCGGGAGGTCCTTCTCAACTTCCATCTGACCCCAGCTTACCTGGTCTCATCCGAACTGGCTGCATTGTTTTCCACTGTGGCTTGGCAAGGTTGCTCCCCCATCCAGGAGAGGCCGTCAAACAGGAAATAGGACAGGAGCCTACCATGGAGGGCCTCTGAAAGACTCTACCTAGCAGTGTATAAAAGAAGATAATAAGACTCATAATCAAACTTTGGGCAGAGTGCAGGGAATCATAGGAAAGAAGGGGGAGATAGTAAGACCTGGAGAGAACAGGAGCTCCACAAGCACAGCAACAGAACCAAAATATGTGGGCTCAGGGGTCTTTTCTGAGTCTGATACTCCAACCAAGGACCATTCATGGAGATAACCTAGAACCCCTCTCAGATGTAGCCCATGGCAGCTCAGTATCCATGTGGGTACCCTAGTAAGGGGAGCAGGGACTGTCTCTGCTCTGTACTCAGTGGCTAGCTTAGATAACTTTTTATCTCTGAAAAAATAACTTCTGTGGTTCAATTTGCTTCCACATGTGTCCAGCTCTAATAACTATTCCTTTTACAAATACTTTAATGGGACAGATCCCTACTAAGACCAGGTGTGGAAATACTTCTAATCTTTAAATTATTACAACTTCTTACTTATTACAGCATTAATAGAGATAATCTTTCTGTAAGATATGACGTTTCACACTTTATTTTTAATTTTTTTATTTTATTTCATTTTTTTTAATAGTTAAATTTTATTAACTCTGTATCCCAGCTGTATCCTGCTCCCTAATTCTCTCCCAATCCCACCATCCCTCCCTCATCTCCTCCCTGTCCAAGTCCACTGATTGGGGAGGACCTCCTTACACTTTTTTTTTTTTTTAGTTCCAAAATCTTTTTTTCAAGAGCACACAATTTAAGATTTGTTTGAGTGAGCATGTGGTGTCCGTGCATGCGTGTGTACACATTCAGAGGCTCAAGGGGAGTGTCTGTTGTCCCCACCTATCATTCTTTACCCTATTCCTTTGAGTAAGGGTTTCTTCCTAAACCCAGAGTTTACTTCTTTCTTCTTTCTTTCCTTCCTTCCTTCCTTCCTTTTTTCCTTCCTTCCTTCTTTCCTTCCTTCCTTCCTTCCTTCCTTCCTTCCTTCCTTCCTTCCTTCCTTCCTTTCTTTCTTTCTTTCTTTCTTTCTTTCTTTCTTTCCTTCCTTCTTTCTTTCCTGGTAGCCAGCAAGCTGCAGCTGTCCTCCTCTCTTTCCCTGCTTCAGTTCTGAGATTGCAGCTGCCTGTGAGACCATGCCCAGCTTGTCACCAGGATGCTGGAATCCCAAGTCTTCGTGGGTTGTACTGCATGGTTGCATTTCTAACTCCTAAGTTCTTTTCAAGATAAAGAAGGTGGGGTGTTACATGTGGCAGAGCTGAGATATATCTCTGAGGTTCTGAAACAGATGAATCCTGTCCAGGATGGTTGGCAATGATCTTTAGTCTCTCCTTGGGTCCTTCTTATACTGGAGCATAGTATTTCAAACTTCCTCTGTTAGATGATGTGTATAAGTCAGGGTTCTCTAGAGTTGTAGAACTTATGGTATGAATCTGTGTGTGAGTGTAATTTATATATGTGTAAGGAATATATATAATATCTAACACACACACACATATATATATATATACACGTACACACACACACACACATATAGAATTTATTGGAACCACTAATCCAACAATGGCTAGCTGTGAATGGAAAGTCTAATAACCTAGTGGTTGCTCAGTCTCATGAGGCTGGGTGTCTCAGCTGGTCTTCCATATGTGCTGGAATCCCAAAGAAGTAGGCTCCAATGCATGTGAAGGAATAGATGTGCTAGCAAAGAGAGAGCAAGCAGGCAAACAACAAAAATTTCCTTCTTCCATTGTTCTTATAAAGGCTTCTAGCGGAAGGTGTAGCCCAGATTAAAGGTGTGTCTTCCTGCCTCAAGATCTGGATCAAAAGCCCGTGTCTTTCAGACTCAAGACCCAGATCTCACAAGTGCTCTCCATTTCTAGGATTGTAGATAATTCCAGATATAGTCAGGCTGACAACCAAGAATAGCCATCACAGATGTCTTGCAACTAATGCAACTCAAGTACTTGATAGCTCAATTCAAACATGCTTACACCTTATTCCTTGTATTATCTCATTAATACTTCCTGGTTTTAATAATATTAATTTTGGATGTACATCTATCCAAATAGTCTTAGTGTGTAGCACACTGATTTGAAACCTTTCAACAATCTCCATGTTGATCAGTTCAGTTATATTCAGGCAGAGGAGAAAAATTCAGGATGTTAACTGCATAGACTATAATCAGCTACCTCTCATGGAAGCTATAAATACTAACATATTACAAAGCTGAGAGTTCTGTAGTCATTGCCAACGCTACCCCCTGAGCTCTCAGGAGCGATGACCTCTGTTCACCTTCAAACCATTATGTCTGAGCTCTGAGCCCTGTGTTTTTACAAAGGGTTTTATCTCCACCGTGCTAGTGCTCTGCCAGGCTCTTATCTCAGTGGAGAGAGTCTGTGTTGTGCCCCACTGGCATCTCAAGAAGGCATAAGAAAGAACTCTCTGCTTGGGTCATGGTGTGACTGTTTAATCATAGCTTTAAAACGCATCATTTTTTTTTTTTTTGCTTACCTTCACAAAGTGTTTTGCATGTCACTTGCTATTAAGCAATACATCAAATAATAGATATTTTCATAGAACTATGTGTGTTTGAATTTGTTTGTGTCCTTATATGTACAACAGAAGGAAAAATGTACTAAAACAAATGACATTAATTTCTTATATATATGTATACCGAATAAGAAACAAATATTACTAGTTTAGCACATATGGAACAGTGCCTATTTTTGTCATAGTTTCTTATTTGATTTAGGTCATAGAATTTTCTAATTAATTTCCAATCAATTTTTGGCAATATTTGTAGTTTCTTTCTCCAGAAGATAAAGCACATTGCAAGAATAAGCTATTTATGAATTGTGTGTTTTTATATTTTATTATCTTAGTCCCACATTTATCTTTACGTGTTTATGTCTAGGTGACTTAAATGAAATTTTTGAAAATGTATTGGTTTTGAAAATGTATTGGTTTTGTTTGTTTGTTGTTATTTTTATAACAGAATCTGTTCCTAATTAAAGTAGGGTTAGAGTCAACAGGGTATGAACAAATCATAGGAATATTCATGTTCAGAGAGAACCCTCTGGGGCATTTGAAAGGCAAGTTTCCTGTTTTGTTGGAGAGCGTCTTCCAACGACAGGGCGTTGAAACACTAAGACTTGAAACCAACATAGATTAGGGCTGAAACAAAGATGAATCTCAGGCCTACTTTAAAACATTCTCCCCAAAGAGCTTTGTGTATCTCTAAAGGACTTGTTCAGGTAAGGCATTTCTTATGGGGGGGAAAGTTGGCATATGAAAAGAGAGGGGTAGAGGAATGACTTTCCTCAGATAAGCATGAAAAAAAAAATCCAACATTGTTTGACCTTAAACATTTCACCAGGAGACTCTAAGTATAACATAGATTTCACTTCAGGGGAAACAAAAATAAGGGTATCTCAGGATCTCAGAATATTTATCTTTAAATGAATCTCTTAGTTAAATAAATCCATATGAAAAATTTAGGTCTCAGGAAGAAAGAGACCTGTACATGGAAAGTATAGCAGAAGAGTAATTATATATCTTCTTGCCTTTTCCATGTTTCTTAGAATTGTTTATTCCAATTTTAAAGACTTTTCCTGTCAAATGACAAATTGGTTGTTTTTTTTTTTTTTTTCCATATGAAACTTAAATAAGGAATAAGCCAACCTGTTCTGGAGTGCTGTGGTCTCTGATATATTGTTTTCTTTTCACCCAAGATCAACATCACAGGAATGTTTGCTGATTTCTTGTTCCAGAGGCCCCATTCTATCCCAGAACACAAGAAAAACCTGGGAGGGGAGTCTTGTGGATGTTGGCCCCGGACCTAAGGGAGCTTGCCTTACCTCAGCTGCTCAATTTCCTCATTATGTCAAAGAAAGAGACCATTGAATTCATTCTTCTTGAAGACATACAGGTTCTGGGAATACTTCTGTAAAAAATCATTGCATCTAGTCAGATGGTTTCTCTCCCTTTGGCTTTTGTAGTTTGAGGCGACTTGCAGTCCAGGTTTTTAGGCTCAGCAGTGCCAAGTGTGCAAGCAGGGTCACCTCGCTTAAGGTCACCCAACTTGCGTTTATGGATTTATTGTTTATGGCTATCTCCTTGACGTTTATTTAACTTTCTCTAAAACAGGAACAACTGAAAACATCCCTCTTCCATTCTAACCACTGCCAGATTTTAGAAAATAATCTCTTCACGTTTTTGCCTGCAGCCATTACTTTTCTGAACTCAACAATCATGTCCTGAATAACAATATTTTATGGATCTGAAAAGGCAGCTCCTACCTGCATCAATCCAAAAAGCCAGTTCCTGAAGCTAGGATTGTCCTTTACCAGAAACCCCAGATGTGAACTCTATAAAGAATGAGTGTGTGTGTGTGTGTGTGTGTGTGTGTGTGTGTGTGTGTGTGTTTGGTGATGAAATGAGAACAATACTTTTTAATAAATTCTTACAATGAATTATTAATTAGACATTTTTAGAGTTCATTTGGGTCTTAGGGGAAGTACATGGACAACAACAACAAAAACAGACCCCTGGTAGTTGGATTTTTCTATAATTTAAATTATTCTTAAGGTTTTTGCCAAATCATTTTATTCTTTGATTATAAGAACAATGTTTAACAAAGGGTAAATCCTGTGAGAGGGCACTTAGTTCATTGTAGTAGTAATTTAAAAAATGACACTCTTGACCTGACAGATTTCATACCTTTTCAAAAGTGCCAAACTTGTATTCAGATACAAGGAAAGTCTGGAGTATTATCTACATAGACTTTCATATAAAGAGATTGTAATTACTGACCCACTCAAAACCTAGGTATCTTAGGTTTTATCAACGCTACCTCACTGGATTCTCAGGGGCAGCTACTTCTCCTCACCTTAAAGCCATTATGCCTGTGGCCTGTGTTTTAAAGAGCTTCACCTCCACTCAGGGTGCAATGCTAGGCTCTTATCTCAGCAGTGAGAGTCCCTGCCTGTGCCCCTACACCATTTCAAGAGGCAAAGAGAGGACTCTTGCTCCTCTCAGATACATTAGGATTCCAAGGCCTTAACACCAGGCTCGGGGAATGGAAAACATCTGAACGAGGCAAATCACATCCACAGAGCCAAGCCTTGTAATACCACCCTTCACCAAGTCTGTGCCATGCAAAGTCTTTTAGAGAGCATATTGGCATTGCATGGAATATGAAAACACCTGATTTAGGGAGAAAGTATAGGGAGGGCAACAGTTGCACTTTCAGGCTTCTGGGTTTGAGTTTAAATAACTTACAGGTTATGAGTTTCAATAGTCTCTTCAAAGCAATTGTTATTCCTTGCAGCTTTGTTTCTGCGTTTATTGTGACATCTTTCTTACATGTTACGGTGAGAAATAATATCAATGACTTTAAAGGATTTTTTTCCTTTTGAACAAAGCATTGTTATTTAAATGTGAAATAAGTGGTTTTTGCTTCTGAATCTGTTTGTCATTTTCTGCAGGAGCGGAAAGAGTTGGAGACTGAACTATCAGTTCACTTCACTAAATAATGTAACTGAATAACACTGAAGATCTTACCCCACAAGATGCGTTCAGGAGCCAAGGCTCCCAGACACCCAGAGAAGCAGTCCTACCTCAGAATGTGTGATACCCGGCTAGCAAGCCAGTCCTTTTACAGAGGTAACTAAAAGGACTATCTATTATAGCAGACATTTTATCCCCATGCATTGGGTGTTCCAAGCACTGCTTTGGATTCACAGGTCTCCAGAAAGGTTAATCTTTACAGCTATATCCTAACTGTGTGCTTGGAAATGAAATATGCAGAGATCCCATGAGCTAGCAGCATATGACAGATGACACATGGAGATATTCTTCACACATTCCATTTCCAACTCCTATCACCTACTTAAACACAATGGGCCTTTCGATTTGCACTTGTGTTTTGGGGACTTTTGTTCAGAGCAGTCTCTATCCAAATTCCAGCAGCTGAGAGTTTGGTGATAAAAATCTCTGAAGATCATAGCCAAACTTTGGGCAGAGTGCAGGGAATCTTAGGAAAGAAGGGAGATATAGAAAGACCGGGAGGGGACAAGAGTGCCAAAAGGAGACCAACAGAGCCAGAACAAACAAAAAAACAAACAAAACAACTGAGCCCTGGGGGCTCTTTGGAGACTGATACTCCAACCAAGGACAATGAATGGAGAGGACCTAAAAACCACAGCTCAGATGTAGCCCGTAGACTTAGTACCTAAGTGGGGTCCCTAGTAAGGGGCTGTCTCTGGCATGCACTCAGTGGGAGGTTCTCTGATCACCTCCCCCTGGGGGGGGGGTGCAGCCTTGTCAGGCCACAGAGGAAGACAATGCAACCAGCCCTGATGAAACTTGATAGGCTAGGGTCTAATAGAATGGGAGGAGGACCTCCCCATCAGTGAACTAGGGGAGGGGGCATAGATATGGGGAAAAGAGGAAGGATGGAGGGATTGGGAGGAGAAGAGAGAGGGACCACAGAGGGGATAAATGTGAATAAATTGTAATAAATGATAATAAAAGAAATCTCTGAGGAAAGATGTTTTTGGCTGTAGCTCTATCCTGGCCATGGACATTTTTTGACAGTCTAATTATTCAGCTATCTTAATACAAGTGGTTTGTAAAGAGTGGACTTGTCTTACTCCTTGGGAAAACCCAGTCATTATTTAGAATTATTATTATTACTTTTCTTTTTTAAGATATGGTCTCAAGTAGCTCAGGTTGACCTCACACTTGCAATGTATTTTGAAGATGACCTCATATATCAATCTCTGTGCCTCTACCTCCTGAGTGCTGGGATTATAGGAATGAACTGATAAACTAGACTTTATGCCTTTATAGGGAACATACCCAAGGCTTTGCACATTCTAAGTAAAGCCTTTACCAACTGGGCTACAACTCCTGCCCCTAGGATGAGTTTTAAGTAGCAGCTTTACTATTGAGCAGGGTAATTCTTTGTTGTCATTCTTCTTGTGCCATGGAGAACATGTAGCAGCATCCATGGCCACCATTTTACAGTGGATGCCAGCGGTACCGCTACCTCTTGCCTCTCCTCTGCAATACTACCTTCCTTTTGTAACGATCAAAAATATTCCCAGACATGACCAAATCCTTGTGGAGGCAATCCCTCTCCACACCCCACCCTGAAAGTCAATGAATTAAAGGAATGCTCCATTGCACCCTGCTGTTAATACTTGGGATTTCAATCTCATCCAAGTTAACATATTAGTAACAATGTGTTGCATTCATAATTTGAAAAAATACTTTTCGTGAACATTGTATTTAACTCTCATAACAGTCCTAAAGTAAGTCATTTATATCCTTCTTTAAGGACTTAGAGACTGCCTCAGGGTTAATGGCATATGTGTAAAGTAATGGATGACAAAACACTGAAGAAATTTCTGTTGTCTTTACTTTGTCTTTTGCCCAATGATCTTACTGTTCATTAGACTGTTCGTTTATTTTATGCTAAGACTAGAAGGATGCTTAGAGGTTTCTTTGTTCATCTTAGCGAAGAGAAAACTAGGTAGCAGAGATACTAAAGTGATTTGTCCAAGTTAACAAAAGTGGTAAAAGCAGGACTTCATCGCAATAGCCGTGTAACATCCAAAAGACATGGTTTAATAGCTTTCCTCCCCATCCTCCACCACTTACATTACTGTACCTCATCTTCTGTGATATTTCCTGATACTCTGTGGAGGTGGGGTTAATGTAGATACTCTATTTAGGGTTGAACACTCAATCTTTTAGTCTTAGCACTTTCACCAGTTAAGCCCCTCTTCGTTGACTATTGTCTGCTGCGAAATGAAGCTTTCCTGTCCAAGTGTGGTTACATGGAAGACTGCACATGATCAGAACAGCCCAAGTTCCATGACAGATGGGATAGGTGATCTCCAGGCCCCACCCCATTCTGATGAGCAGAAGATTGCTGAGGAGAGGACAAGGCATTCTTTACTGAGGGTACGGCCATAGGTAAGTTTTTCCATGCTACTGTTGATAGTCACACAGCTGTGCACATGTGAGCACAGCTTAGTGAATATCATATACTTATATTCACTAATTATACTTAGTGAATTATCAGGAAAAAAATCATGAAATTGGAAGGAAAGCATATTAGGGGGACATGGAGGAAGCCAGAAGCATAGACAAAATCATATTTCATCTACAGACTTACGAAATTTCAAAAATAAAGAAAAAAATTTAAAAAGAATCAGATAACAAGAATATTTGCAATACATATTCAAGAAGAATAAAAGAGATTTCATTGAGGAAATCCATAATTGGTAGAGGGACCTTGATAATGGAGTCAGTTTTCTAGTAGGAGAAATAAGTTGGGCTCAAACCTGAACATAGTAAGGAACAGTGAGAATTCAGAGCAAGAAGCAGAAAAGAGAGATCCTGGTTAGAAAATTGCTGATAGAAAGCCTTGAGGAGAAGGGTGGGAGTAGGGAGGGGTCCTGAGTAAACATACTGGATTCTTGTTGAACACAGGCCAAAATAACTAGGATGATCAGCTATAGAAGATGAGGTATCCCAACTTGCCAGAGCCCATCAGAAGAGTTGAACATTTCTTGAGTGGGAAGTAAGGCTTAAAAGAACAAACAAACAAACAAACAAAACACTTCACATGGGATCTGTTCAAGAGGGCTTCCAGTAGAAACTAGGCAATAGGTTTATTCCACAATCCCTTTTTGATAGTCAGAGCAAAGCACTATGATACAATGAAGCTCATCAAGAAGTCAACTTGTTTACCTCCACCACCTGTCTGTATGATCCTTACACAAACAAAAGAAAGTGAATTTGGCAACACATCCGTCTCCAGGTGAAGGCCAGGGTGAAAACACATTTTTCACTGAGAGCTTAATAGTAGAGCATCCTGACAAACAAATGGCTCTCCACACCAACTCAATTGTGTGATGGAGGAGCAACACTGAACCCCAGAGCCTAATTAGGAAGAGGGCTCAGAAAGCCTGGTGAGAGTTTAGATGTGGAGAGAATCTTGGACTTATTAAGACTTTTCATTAGCTCCTACTTAAACAGTATGAAGAAATGGGTACAAATAAGTCATTTTGGTGTGCGTGTGTGTGTTTACCACAAATGGATTTAAAAGAAAATTAGACTGCGAGCCAACACACCTCCAGAATAGAATAATTGAGGAGTGATGAGGTCAGGCTGTGCCCTGATCTAACATGAACTAACTCAGTCCATATGGTAAAACAGTGATATTTCAGACCATGCCTTACCCTGACAGACTCCATTATACAACCATCTTTTGACTCCACTTTGGATCAGAGGATGACTCTGCACCTCATTGGTGATATGAAGGGCACCATCTGTCTGGCATCATCTGTTTGGAACTATCTACAGGGCAGAGACTGATAAATGGCATTTGTAGCAATATAAAGAGTGCCATTCTGTAAACTTATGTGTGTGAATTGGGACTATGGCAGCACATGAGCATATGTCCTGGAAACCAGGCCCAAGGGCTTAAACGCATCAGACAAAGAGAAGGGTATAATCTCCTCCTCTAGGCTGCTCAAAGAAGTGAACGCCTAGCTCTATGATGACAGCGACACCCACTTTGCTGTGATCTGGCTGCCTGGTTTACGTATTAAGAGATGGACCCACAAGCTGAGAATTCCCCCCTCTCCCAGGGTCTTCACCTTAGCTTGTTTCCTGCTGTTCAAATGCCTTCTCAAATGCTGTCCATCCATATTCCTATTTGTTGTCAATCCGTCTGTCTCTTTTCTTTATCTGGTACCAGCCCTGTCCTTTTTCTATTGCAGCTGGACTCAACTTGAAAGCCTTGCTCTCAAAACAGTAACCCACAGAGACCTGACTCAGGATAGCAGAATCTCCTTGAGTCTGTTATCTGACCGGTTCAGACTTCTGCATAGTGTCAGATTTCCAGCTTTGATTCTCAGGTCTTTGTGAAAATTCTTTCTTTTCCCTTTAATTCTTTACACCCATTCTGTAACCTAGCCATTCTGTACATACATATACACAGACAGACAAACGGACAGATGAACAGATAGACAGACAGATAGATAGATATACTATGGGATACACAATATGTGATCTGAGGGTTAATATTAGCAATTAAAATTGGGATAAAAGAATCTGTTTTACCAAGGAAAATGGGGATATCTAGTAAACTACTTCAGCTGAAACTGCGGTAGCTTATGAATTTATTGTTATTTAATACATTATGGTTTCATAGAAGCACATAGCTATAGCACACTCAGGATATCCTGACTGATGGTACCTCCCAGGACATTTCCAGCTTCTGCTTGGTCTGATTCTGTGAGCACTGAGCTAACATTGACTCCTACGGAGAATTTCACAGCAGAAAGCATTTCCTACCTAAAGACCAGTTCAGTGAGGCTCCTGTAGGTTAATATTCCATTACAAGTCACTCAAGAGCAATCTCATCAATGACAGGCTGGCCAGAGGATGGCTGGATGAAAGGAAAAAGAAGAGGTGAACTGG